TAATAGAATCATTTTAAGTAAAAGATTAGAATGAGTAAATTGTGGGCTTCATTTGAGATGCTGTCATGTCTCCTTCAAAAGACATAATGACATTGGGAACTTCCAAATCACAATTACAAATATAAGTCATATCACTCTGAAGATAAAACTGGTAATTAAAATCTATCACTTCTGACATAATTACAAAATACAGCATGCTGTCAAAATTCCCTCTGAAAGGCTAAATTTTATCTCTTGATAATGGCAAAACATCTAAGTGCTCCATTATTAAGAACTTAAAGACATGAAATTGATGTAATGTAGGAGCGAGAGGAAACTCTTTCCAAGAGATAGACCTGAAATCTCTCCTCTCCGTCGAGGCTTGAAGACAGGCATTTTAAGTGCAGTAACTGTGAACCCAAGTGTGTGCCTTTGTAACGTCTTACAAGTGGACAGAAGCCATTCACACTCCCAAATTATCCATCATTCTGCCTCTAAGACAGATGCCAGCCGACAGCTCACAACAGCCACCAGCGTCACTCTTGGGACCCTCCTCTACTCTGTAACCTGGTCGGGGTCAGGAGAGCTCCGCCCGAGGAAGGCTGGCTGGGGGGTGGCACCTTGGCATCCATTTCCTGAAACATTTTCTTCTGAAGCTCCAGCAGCATCTGCTCCCAGCCACAGCAGGAGCCCACTTTGGGTTCCCTGCTTATAAGTAGTCTTACTGTACCTCAACTTGGAGGAAATGATCTCTCTTCCAAGGAAGTGAAGTGTTGTCTCTCTTCTCATGAACTCACTTCATTCAGTTTCATGGAAGGAATACCTGAAAATCCAGAGTCTCGGAAAAGGTGACCCAGGACGGTCATCTCCCGGGCATCTGCTCAGGCTCTTCACTGTGGGCACACGTAGCCCCCTGTGGGAGGGCTGGGGCAGGGCGGGCTGGCCCCAGGGGCCTTGCCCTCAGTCTTTCCTCACTCGGGTGCTCCCAGCTGGCCCGAGTGTCCCTGCTCCAAGATATTTACAACCGTGCACGGCGAGGCTTAGAGCTCCCCAAGGGGCAAGAGCAAGCACAGCAAACACAGGAGAGGTCATGTCTGCAGGAGGGAGGAGGGGGAGGTGGAGCCCAGCTTCCACAGGGAGGAAGACCCTGAAGGTCACGGCAGGCAGCCTGGACCCTTGTCAGCAGCCATGATCCAAGGAAGACACTGACTTGCCTGCTTTGGCCACGTGCCCAGCATTGACCAGTCATAGAGCCTGGGAGATGAACCTCTCTGATTAGGCAAATTTGAACCTTAATTCACCCCCCTGACATTGGGTGGGAAAGCGAACTCCACCTGAACCATGCAAAATGGATTCCCCGTCCTTGCTCCTAGAAGAAGGCGGCATGGAAGAGGCATTTTCACAGCCATCAAACAATCCCGTATCTTTTGCAGCTCAGGTATGTCTTGTGAACCCTGGAAGTTGGCCCTGGCCCCCAGAGGAGGCCCTCCCGCCGCACGGCTCTCCTGTAAGCAGGCTGTGCTGGAGAGCTCTAGCTGGGACCTCACTGTCCTCTCATGGCACCATCCTATAAGTTAACATCAGAGGTGGGGTAGCAAGGGCGGGCTATGAAGTGGACCAAGTCTTAAGTGTTTGTGTTCTTATAAGTTTGATTATTTGTTTTAAACCCTTGCTCTTTAAACATCTTTGTTTGAAACTGGGGATTTCTCTTCACAACCTGGAGAACCCCATGGCAGAAACCACAGGCTAAGTGGACGAGAACAGGCATCCTCATGTCGGAGAGCCGGGTCACTGCAGTGCCCACTGGCAATGACATGTCCTGGCCATACATCCACAGTAAACTATGACATGGCATCTCTACTCCCTCATGCTCTGGGTGACAGATCAAGGGAATAAAACTCTTGGAAGGAGGCCATTAGTGCTTTCCTGGGAGTGACAGAAAGTTAACCTTTCGAATCCTGCATCGTTCCAGACACTGGACAAACCAGCCCCAGAAATGGAATGAGTTTTATTGGCCGAACTCCAACAAGCTTTGTGACTTTAGGAACTGATTCTCTCCCAGAAGCTTCCAGGTCATCCTATTCAGGATTTATTTCTTTTCCCAAATCAGTAGGCATGAAACTATCTCTAATGCCCCTCTCTTGGAGGAAACACCACTGAGCATGCTCAGAATCAAGGGATTCATTATCCAATTCAGTTCTGCACCCGATATGCAAACACAGAGCAGCTGGCACCTCAGCCTGTCAAGTCATTCTTTGGAAAAAGATTTGGTGGAGCTAGAGCCTGGTCTTGCATCCGGTGGCATATCAGAGCATGTTTGCATCCTGTAGAGGAAGGAACAAGAGGGGTCTGTTGATAACCAAGTGGTTCTAAGAGGAACACAGGACTGTGGCTGGGCGGAAATACCATGCTTTGGGCTGTATATCCATGAGTCAAGCCCACCTTTGCCATATCTATAGTGATCCTCAGCAAGTTAAACTCTGAGCGTTGGTGTTAAAATCTGTGAAATGAAGGTAAGGGGACCTTTACAGGGTGGCTTCAAGGAATTAAGACACTGCATGTCATTCCCAGCACAATTACTACCAGTGGGTACCCATCAATGGCAGGTTGATGACCAGAGATGTGGCATTCACTTAAAATGTTTGCTAAGATGAAGAGAATAACCATGGGAAAGATGACCTTTGTTCCCAGTGGAATACAAAGCAATCTACTCAGGTGTCTACTGAGGGTTTCCTGGTGCCTACTCAGTAAGACAAGGTTCTGGAGGCCCATGCTGTGAGGCCTTGGGAGCCACAAGGAGCCTCATTCACAGTTAGGAGCCAGGAGGAGATGGCTGTTGGCAAGTCCCTGAGCTATGACTACAGTTGATGATCTCCTCACGGTTTTCAACAGATGCCACTGTGCAGAGCATGTGCCCCAACTCCAGGGCTCCCCGAAGTCTTTTCCCCCTTGTTTCCCAAGGCATCTGCTCACAATCTTAAGAGAGCCCCCATAGTTTTTATGATTCCTGGGAGAGAAATCCTAAGAGGGACAGGATCCACAAGAACCTCAGGACAGCATGGAGTTGATGGCAGAGTGGAACCAACTCGCCCCTGGTCCCAGGAGCCCTGTGTCCACCAGGAGCCCCTGGCCTTCCTGGTCATGGTCTTATGAAGTGGGGAAGGACGGCTGGCTATTTCCTACCCCATTTTATCAGCCCTTTGGCAGGTGGCAATGGCACCATGCGTCCCGTATCATGGAATCTGGCTTCACATGGGCTACGGGGCTGGGTTTATTCTGCTCTCTAGCCCTGAGACCCAGGGTGGGGCCCACAGGAGGAGGCCTCCATGACCAGTCCCTGGAGGGAAGGGCCCAGCCTCGCCTTGGACGGTCCTGCCCTGACAGCCCCATGAAGTCAGGCTGCACTTTCTACCCCCGTGCCCCAGGCTTTTCGTCCAGGTACTAGAATGAGACCCACCCTGTGGGACACAGTGGTGGGATTCAGCTCAGAGCCTCTTCTTCAGGAGGTTTTTCTTGACCGATATTTCTTGAAAAACCAGTCCCTCTCACCCACTGTACTCCCCTTCATAGCACCTGCCACTCGACTTCAGAGGAACATATTGATTACCCTGTTTTCTCTTTCTTGTTGCAATTTTTAAGCAGGCAGTGTTGTGGGATTGGGTCACTCCGTGGCCCTGGTGTCTGGAAGGCAGAAAGTGCTGGTAAATATTCAAATAAAAAGGGGCTGGGGACGGGGTCAGTGGTAGGGTATCCCTGGCTTCAATCCCCAGTACCTCCCACCCCACAAAAAAAAAGAGTTTGGGGAGGCCTCTCTAAAATGGCTTTTAAAATTTAAAGAATGGGAAAGTAAGAGGCGAGGACTGGAGAGCCCAGTGCCAAGGTCCAGGACTGACTGGGCATGCTGCACACCCCTTCTGGGGCAAGGGCCGGTTGTGTTGAGCTGTTTTGTTTTGTGGGACAGTTGTGTGTGGCAGCAGCCAAGGAGGAGGAAACAGGCAGACATTAAAGAACCACGGGTATGATCAGGGAGGAGGCCTTGCCCATCGTCCAGTCAGAATCTAAACTCTGCTGTCACCTTGGAAGGCCAACGGAACATCCCGGAGTGTTGGGAGCAGAGAAGGGCAAGGGCCAGAGGTGGGCTCTGGGAAGTTGGCTTCCTGGCAGTTGGAAGTGATGCGAGGGGAGGTGCCCAGAGGGGAGGCCAGTGTGGGAGAGAAGATGTGCTGTCTTTTCCTGCGTCCCTTGAAGTCCTCGACACATGCCACTGTGCACAGGAGTCGAGAGCTCTCCAAAGTGTCAGCACTGCAGTCTCCAGTTACATGCTGTCTCCTTCCCTGCCTGGAAGATGAGCTAAGAATGGCCACTTCCTGAGCTCTCCAGCTGCCATGACCCTCTCTGCGGGGCCCTGTCATGCTGTGCACAATGACTACCAGGGTTTATGACTCTGTGGCCTCCCAGAACATTCTCTGCCTTGCAAAGAATAGGCACTAATTGAGCCAGTGCTTGCTCCTATAGGAAGCTTTCTGGGACTGAAAGTGTTGTACGAAATTGCTGCTTTGCTCATTTGTTCTCCTTCTCTCATCACTCCCCGCGTTAGTCATTGTGGCTCTTTGGAGCCTGCCCCAGCTTGCATTTTCTCACCGGAATTGTGTGGGATGTTGCTAAAGAGTGCAATCTTCCCCGACTCTGCAGCCAGCCACCAACTCCCTCCTGCTCTGGATCCAATCTGGCTACACAGCCAGGCCGCATCCCCCGAGAGCCTGCACGTGCCCTGGGCCCTGGACAGCAGGCCTCGAGAACAGACTCCATGAAACCTGGGCTTTGTTGGGAGCTGAGCCGAGTGGGTGCCAGCTGTTGACCGCCAGCCTTCCACCGGCCAGCTCCCAAGGAGTCAGCCAAGGTGCTGAGCACCATTCTTGTGAACACAGAACCTGTCTCCCCTTCACCCCAAGCCCAGGGCTGTTCCAAGAAACCCACAAACGCTTGCTGGAGATGAAGGTGCTGTTGTGCTTCTATTCCAGGTGCTAAACCTGCCCCCGGGATCTGCTTTGAGAGGGTCAACTCTGCAGGTGATCCCTACGGCAACTGTGGCAAGGACTCCAAGAGCTCCTTTGCCAAATGTGACGTGAGGTAAGGAATCCATGCACCCTGATGAGGTCATCGCTGTGGCTTAGGGGTGATTCCTAACTACTCCTCTTTGGGGCTTTCTCTTCTTACTCTTCCAGAGATGCTAAATGTGGAAAAATCCAGTGTCAAGGAGGTGCCAGCCGACCAGTCATTGGTACCAATGCTGTTTCCATAGAAACAAATATCCCACTGCAGGAAGGAGGCCGGATTCTGTGCCGGGGGACCCACGTGTACTTGGGTGATGACATGCCAGACCCAGGGCTTGTGCTTGCGGGGACAAAGTGTGCAGATGGAAAAGTAAGACCCAAATTCTCACTTGCATCATGAATGTAAGTCTGGGACTGGGCCCATTGAAAGGCCGCCCATTTAAGAACAGGGTGTGAGGTTGGCCTGTTTCCCTAAATTCACTTCTCAGAATGTGGTCTCTGGAATCCCGTTCTTTTTGCACCTACAACAAAAAGTCAGTCAATCCAAGATCCCAACCTGAGCATTAAGGTACAGATTTGAGGAAATCCAGCTCGTCTCCTTGACCCTTTAGTGTCAATAAGTCATTTCTACACCCTGGATGTCATGAGAGTTTAGAGCCAAGAAATAACTCTGGAAAGAAATACGGTAGGGTAGCATATTGTTCTGGGAAATGTGGTTTGGTGTTTGGCACAGGATTCTGAGGGACTTTTCTCACCTGGACAGGATGGGAAGTCGGATGTATGTTCAGAGTCCTCATAGAAGACTAGGAGGGGGAGAGGGAGGCAGCTGAGAACCAGAGGTGGGTCCTGGCAAACCACAGGGAAAGGTAACCAGAAGAATTTTAAGGTATAGAAATAAAATCAATTTTTTAGTGGAAAAAGAAATTGAGATTTTCATGTTCTGGCCCACTGATTTTTTATTTTTATTTTCTTACCAAATTTTTCTCATCAGACTAAATGATAGGAAGTTAATCAGATGTTTTAGGGAAAAGATGAATCAACTCCCAAATGCTTTTTTTAGGCACATTTTCAGCACGATTTGGAATCTCTCACTAGTGTGGAGGTCGCAAGAAAGAAAGGACAGATGTGGACTGCTTCCCTTGAGAAGCTGGAAGGCAGGAATGGCCTGCAGCCTGGCCCCCCAGCCCCACCCTCCCGTGGCCACAGGCTGTTTCCTTGAGATAGGATGGTGCAGGAGGCGAGCTGTGTGTCCTGCCTGCCTCCTTAGCCATGTTGGCCTTGACGTTACAGTGACACCAGAGTTTAAACCTGTCTAGCAGCCAGAGGCAGGAGTGCCAGGACACTAAAAGTCCAAGGACTCTGCTTACCTTGGGGGCATGGTTGGCCCTGCCCCTGGGATCAGGAGGCCAGCAGCACCTACCACTACAATTCTGACCAGGAGCACCTGTGTCCTCTGCCACCTGGGATGATATTTTTATCGCTGGAATGTGACAGTCTGCTTGGCCAGGGTCCACCCATCCCTCAGTCCTGCATGGGTCGGCCCTTGCTCTTACGTGAGCTGTTGGGTCAAATAGGAATCTTCCCATAGGAAGGTTCTACCTAATTAAAAAGCTTCTGCATCCCAAACATTAGACCCTTCACCTTTGACACCACCGTTCATCTTGTGAGGAGAAAGGACCTGATCCCTAGAGTCGGGAGCCGGTCACATACCTTAGATGACACTGTCTCTCTCAACCCGTCCAGTGTCATTTGGCAAATTCCTGCCTCTGCCATGCTTGATAAACACAGCGGAGCCTGGTTCCCTCTGCCAGACGTTTCTGTTGATGGTTTGTGTCACAATGATGCTCCTTGTCAGTTGAAATTTTTAAAATGTTCCCCCGTTTAGACATCTGTCTTTGAAGACGCTTGGACCCTGGATTCTTGGAGTCTTCACAGCCCCCAGGGTCAGGACTAACCCGTCTCACCCTCTCCTGTGTTGTTCAATGGAGAAAAAGTACTCTAATATGTAGGTTTCATTGTCATCTCTAAACAAAAGTCACGAGAAAATCAGTTACAGTTTCAGGATGCACTAAAGCCATTTTAAACCCCATAAAGCATAAGAGCATTCATGAGTATTGAATTCAAGTCATTGAACTTGGTCTTGCCAAGAGCTGAGGTTGGAGTTAGACAGTGGGAGCCTGTCCATGCGGCAAATGCACCAAGTACTGCCCCCAGGTACCTGAAAGGGGAGTCTTCTCTACGCGTCCTCAGCCTTTTCTTTTAGTGTGTAGCCACGGGGAGGGGAGCAGAAGTTCTGAGGTGCTTGCGGTGTTTTCCTCCTGCAGATCTGCCTCAACCGGCGGTGTCAGAACACCAGTGTCTTCGGTGTTCAGGACTGTGCAATGCGATGCCACGGCCGGGGGGTAAGTAGGCTGCCCTGCCCTATCCTAGACTAGCCACCCAGCTAAGCAGGAAGTCACTCTTCGCAAAGGCTCTTGCAACCCACAGCTTCTTAAAAATAGACCAGCCAGCGTCTTCTCCATATTTTCTTCTAACGACGTTTATTTTCTTTGACCTTTACATCGCACAAGAAATGTCATCTTCATTTCACAGAGAAAATCAGATTGAGTGGTCATTATCTTTTAAATTAGCGTTCTGTGATTTTGAGAATTTTGTCATCTTCAAATTCATTTTAAAGCTCACCTTGCTTGTGAAGTACCTCACATTAGCATTTCAAACAGAGCTGTCCGTCTTGCCCCCATCATTCCAAATATGTGTCTGAACCAAATTTTTTCAAGAAGGGACTAAAGCCAAGATGGTCCACCATCGTGACCATGTGTTCTGAAGCCCCTCACAACAGGTCCCTAACTCAACCGGCTGTGTTCTACACTACAGAAGCTTTAGGGGAGAAGAGAACTGTCCAAAATGAGATTTATTTTTCCTGATGGGCTCAGTTATTTCCAGTGGAATCATTAATCTTGATTGGCCATGCCAGTGGTTCATTGTTTTCCTGAAACCTTTTCTACAGAGATCATGTTCTGACATCTATTTTTAAAATCTCCAGACACTTGCCAGTGATTCCAAAGTGGCACATGGGGGTCTCCCTAAGCTCAGGCAGAGTCACAGCCATGATGGATCACGCCTGCTGCACCTCTTGGGTTTGTGGCTGCAGCATTTAGCTGACGCACAGCCTAACTCAGGATCGCTGTGTCTTCCCTGGATAATAGATCTCTCTTGATTGGCCATAAGAAGCGAGCTAGTCCAGCCCCATCGTTTAACTGACAGATCTAGACGTACGTGGGGAGAATGGTGTGTGCACAGTAACCTGACTGGTCAGCAGCCAGCATGGAGGACTGAAGCCTCCCTTTCTGATGTCCCTGGCACCTCATCCACACTCTGGAAAGGCCCACATTTTCTGGACCAGTTGTCCATGACTTAGTGCCAGGGACATGGCTACAGTCCCTCCCTGATGAGACCAGGCTCACTGCTAGCCCCACCAAGCAGGGAGTCAGGGCTGTGATTTCTCTGCCACAATTTGCAAGATGGGAGGGGTCCACATGCTGCAGCAGGGGACTTCAGGGCAGCACGTGAATCTCCGGGTGGTTCCTTAGCACCCTTCCAGGAATAGTCAAGACAGCACGAGCCACGCCACTGGCTAGTTAATCCTGCTTCTAGCTTCATAGCTGTCTCCCAAACCATCACAGGCGATCTCGACCGTCAGGCTTCATATTTGAAGCAGTTGGGGGTGATTTCATCAAAAAAGTGACTACCTCTGTTGAATTCATCAAAGTCAGTTGAAGCAGGGGACCCTCCCGTGAGACACACACTCCAAACATTTTATTTTGCCTTAAAATCAGTTGGTATGTGTTTGGATCCCATATTTTGATGCAGGGACTTCATGGTTTACTGATGGTTGTTCTGCTTTCACTTCTGTGGCTAAACCATGCAGCAGTTCACCACCTGCAATTTACAGTCTGTTTCCTTAAGTGGAGGGAAACTTGGACACTCCACAGACACCTGAGTGCTCAGTGCTTCTTGACCCAGCTTCCCCGGCCACTCTGTATTGTCCCTTGCACTGCAAGTTGTCAGATGCTTTTTAGTGACTGGCCTTTCTCCAGTGTTCCAAATCACCCTAGAAACAAGGTCCTCTGGCCTTCAGGGTCACATTCCATTGGTTCATGCACCAGTTCACTAAGTTATATAACCAGCAATGGTGAGTCCTACCAGAGTGAGAAGAAATAGGGGCCCAGCTGCAGGGCTGCCTCAGCGCTCCAGCCAGAGGGGACCAGAGCACCTGGCCTCCCGCACCTCCTGCCTGGAGGAGGAGGACCATGCCGGAGGTTGTTGGGTCTCGGAGGCCCCAGCAGTCTGGTTCCAGGGCCCTGAGCGGGACCCTCCTTACTACTGGAGGGTTTCTCATCACAGCCTGATAGTGACAGTGTCCCAACTGAAGAAAGACGGGGAGAGCGAGAAGAGGCAGGGGGGAGAGAGCCGGGGAGGCTTCATAACCCCATCCTCTGGATGGCGGATGGTGTAGCACTCCCAGCCTCAGGGCTGGCCTCACCTGTACTATTTGGGGCTGGATCTCACAGTGACATCTAGTGTCTGGCTGGGCAGGTGCCAGTGGGCGCGCCAGCCACGGTCCCCTTGTTTTTGTGTGGTGCTCAACTAGGGCTCAAGCATATAGCACGGCCCCCTGCTAGAGAGGGCACCCTAACGCTGTCCCCTGCCCCCAAAGGTGTGCAACAACAGGAAGAACTGCCACTGCGAGGCCCACTGGGCGCCTCCGTTCTGCGACAAGTTCGGCTTTGGAGGAAGCACTGACAGTGGCCCCATCCGGCAAGCAGGTCAGTGAGGTCCCTGTGTCCTGGGGGAGGTGACAGCCCACGGGCACGGCAGTCAGTGTGGGTACAGGAGTGGCTCTGCACAGCCTGAGGCCTCTCCCGGTTCCCAGCGCACCTGTGTTCTCACCTGACCGTCCAAGGCTCCTGGCTCCCTGCTCTGACGAGTGGCTGGGTTTGCAGGTTCCCTGGTCTGTGACACTTTGCTCAGCTAAGGCAGGGTCCACTGTGAACTGCCAAGTGGTATGAGCTTCATCTGCAGATCTGAAGGCTCTGAGAGGGCCAGCCTCTGTGCACTGGGGCACAAGGTGTGAAGTTTATGCCTTTTAAACTCCTCACCAGAAAGAAGCCCTCTCCTAATGGAGGCAACAGCAGGAACAGCAGCAGCTGTACACATGGAGTAGGTGTGTCCAGGTGCCGGGCCAAGCCCTTCACACGCTGGATGTCACCTGCTCCTCGCACAACTCTGAAGCAGAGATTGCCATTAGATACAGGACCTGAGGCTCAGAGAGTTGAAGTAACTTGCCCAACATCAACCAGCTAAGATTGAGATCCAAGTCTGTCTGTCCCCATAGAGGCTCCTCAGGCAATTTCAAAATGGTCTCCTCATACAGTGCTGTTTTCTCTGGGTTTTGGGGGGCGAGTTAGGGACAAATCGGAAGGATGTCCCTTTTAAAATGAAGAAGCTGGGGAAAAAAAGAGGCCAACCACCAGAAAGCATGCAGCTGGGGAGCCAGAGGTGGCATGGACAGAACAGGTTGCTGGCCCTCTGGACACGTCCCTGAGCCCCACCCCCCCCACCCCCCACCCCCGCCCCCCGTGCTTAGACCGTGACCAATGCTGCCAGAGGGGAGGTCACGCATCCCCAAACCCTGCTGTGAATGGCAGCATTGAAACCGTGGCTTTGCCATCGTTTCCATGACAACAGACACAACAGGACTCTGCAGGGCCAGGCAGAGCACACAGGCCCAGAGGGGAGGCCAGTGTCCCAGGCACATCTGCAGAAGCAGCAGAGGAAGGGCAAAGAGTGCCTGGTCCCCTTCCCCTAAAGACTCCACACTGCTCCTGCGAGAGCTCCAGTCTACCTCGGGCCCCGAGCCCTGGGCCCTGAGCAAGTATAGAAAGGACCAAAGGGTCTTGTCCTGATGGCACCTCCCCTCCGTTGCAGAGGGAGTGAGCAGGACCAAACCTGGCATCCCCTTTCCTCAGTGACCTCTGGGCCTCAATGACAACTGGCCTCTTGTTGCAACTTAGTATCTTAGCAGGACTGCGAGCATTTTTTATTAAAAAAAAAATAGCAAGGTTTATTTTGTAGTTCATCAAGGACGCTGCCACCCATACTGTCTTTGATCAAGTAAAACTGGCGGTGGTCAGAGGAGCTGGAGAAGGCAGTGCATCTCTACACACTCTGTCTCTGGGCATGAACGTGCGTGACCAGTGTACTCGGGTCTTAGGGTTTCCAAAAAGTCCAACCCATGAGACTCCCACTCTCCCTTGTCCCTACTTAGAGTGTAAAAGTGAGATCCCTGCAGAGCTGACCCCACCCCACCCACCCCTCTGCTGTCATCTTGTAAAAGAAAGTGTACTTTTAGCACCTCACCTCAAACACGTTCCCAAGGGAGCAGGTCTGAGCAACTGTGTCCCCACTGCTCACTGGCCTGGGCTCATTCACGGTTCAGCAAGTCCTGCCCCCTGCCAGCCACTGTGCAGGTCCTAGGGAGGGTTAGGCAGGTGCTACAAGAGGGGAGCAATCCCAGAGGCTCAGGAACAGGGGGGAGCCATGTGTCTTTAGAGATCTGCGGGGGTGGGGGGGGAGAGACAGGACAAAGGGGCTGTGCAGAGGCCTGGAGTCTGGCTGGGGCCGGCAGGGGTGAGAGTGGCAGCAGTGACGGAGAGGGGAGGCCAGCACGGCAGGGCACAGACGGGGGCATGGAGTCGCAGCACTGCCAGGATGTCAGGCAGAGGGGGCTGCTGTGCTCAGACCCACAGCCAGCTGAGTGAGGAAGGCAGCGAGGCTGGTGACCGAAGTCACCTTCCTGGTCATCACCAGCAGCCTGTTGTGCACCTACTATGTGAAGCACACCCAGATCTTTGCTGGTAGTAAACACACACAAATGAATCGTGATGCCTGCCTCAAGCCATTCACGGACCAGGGAAATCTGGGAGTAAGTCTCTAAATCTGCACATTTTGGGTGTTCCCAGAAGGCTTCCGACTATAGCTGCCATCAAAGACCAAGCTGGGTTCAGTGCTCCCTCCCTTCCCGCCCTTGACCTACATACACAAGGTGATGTCTCCATAGAGAAAATAAACAGCCCCCTCTCAGAGAAAGGGGGTCTCCAACAAAAAGCTGCATTTCTAAGTCCTTAATATGGCCAAACAAAACCCAGAGCATTTCATTTAACCTATGATTTTTCTTTTTCCCTCTTCACTAATTTGAGATGTTCAGAAATAAGTCTCATTCTAAAAATAATACAAGATAAAGCAGCCGGCAACACTGAGCCCTGGGAGGAGGAGCCCAGGAGGGCAGCTGTGTGACCAGGCCACAGCCATCACAGCCTGGGACGTCCGACTGCTGGGACTCAAGTGGCAGGTCCCATTACCTTCTGTGGTTCTACCCTTCTCTGTGCCACTGCCCTGCGTGGGAGGCCACGTGGCCCTACCCTGTCCCACAGACCCACCATGTTCCTATTTATCAAGCATCACAAATGAACGACAGCTGCATGGGTTGAACCTCAACCATGACCTTTGGAGTAAAGCTGATTTATTGGTCCATCATTCAGGGATTGCTCACCTCCATTCCGTTTGTCCCTTCAAAGTCTGTTCTGCCTTAAATGTCACCATTTGATACCTCCCATATTTCACCCTGACTGCCGCCCTCTGAAGCCCAATGTGTTGTGTTTCAGATAACCGAGGCTTGACCATAGGGACTCTGGTGACTGTGCTGTGTCTTCTGGCTGCTGGGTTTGGGGTTTATCTCAAAAGGAGGACCTTGATACGACTGCTGTTTATGAACAAAAAAACCACCTTCGAGAAGCTGAGGTACACTGGGCCTCGTACTGTGGCTAGCAAGGTCCTCGGGGGCGAGGTGATGGTTGAAGGGACGTAGGGCCAGCCAATTCTCCCGGGTGGTCCTTAGGAAAGAGAGGGCCAGGCTTTCTGCACAGGAAGACCGGGAGCAGCTTCTGACCTCCTGGCTGCTCGCCGTGCGGCTGCGCAGGGTGTGGGTGTTTTCTCCATCCTGGTGTTTGTAAGGTGTTCGTAAGCTGTGCAACACTTGGGGACCCTGCGTGTTCTCCTCAGACGGGGTGGCTTGGGGGTCCCAGCACATTCAAAGCCATCATTGCTATGGCTCCAGCTTCTTTCCAAACACCGCCCCCCACCCCCCAGCTACCCCATGGCTGTGTCTACGGGGAGCAAGAACTAATTTGACAGAAGGGTGGCTCTGGGGGAAAGAAGGTCAATATTTTTTTAAAATCTGATAAAAGCATTAGATAATTCTTCCTTTGCAAGTTTGCCACAGTAAGTTGAAATAAGTGAGTGATATTCTTAGTGTCACTATAAACACCAAGGAGAAAAGAAACGGCTGTGGCTAGCAAGTCGGATTGCCTTGCAGGTGTGTGCGACCCTCCCGGCCACCCAGCCGCTCCCAGCCCGCACAGGCTCACTGCACCCACCTTGGGAAAGGCCCTTCAAGCAGGCCACCGCACTCCAACATACCAAAGGTGAGTGTTGGACGAACATGGGGACTCACTGGGCTCATAGACATGCAGCTTGCAACACAAGATGGATTCGGGAGGGGATCCTAGCTGCTTCCCGGAAACAGCCGGCACACTCGGGTCAATGAGGGCTGGCCGGCTGGGGGGCCTGGAAGGAGGCCCACAGTGCCTCTGTGGAAGCTCTCCTGGACCCTGCAGAGATGTGATGCGGTGTGTGGGATACCATAAGCCCTGACCCCTCTAGTCACAGGCTGGCCCAAGCTGGCTCCTGTCACTGGGACCTTCCTGCTGTTTCCAGAGGCCACCAGCTGGGTTTGGGGGAGCTTCTGTGGCTGCTGTGACTCCTGGAATATTCTGTGGGCTTCACTCAGCCCCAGCTGTGCCCCTTCTGCTCAAGCCCAGAGCTGGGGAAGCCAGTCTGCCCCATTCCTTCCAAGAGGGAGATCCTGAGGCCAGAGCACCTCCTGGTCCCTCCTGTCGCTTGCTTCCCCGTGAATCATTACTTGAGTTCATTCTCATACTCGTTGTTTTTCCTACCAAGTGTTTTTTTTTTTTTTTTTAATCTTTTTTAGTTGTAGACAAACACCGTATCTTTATTTTATTTATTTTTATGTGGTGCTGAGGATCGATCCCAGTGCCTCACACATGTGAGGCAAGTGCTATACCGCTGAGCCACAACCCCAGCCCTCCCACCAAGTGGTTTTGATGTATCTGTAAGAATTCTTGAATGTTGAACTCATCCAATGAAAGAATTCAAAATACAACAGGGACAAGACTGATGTCAAGAAATGAGAAATGATTGGAAAAAAAAATCATCATCCCGTATTCAGCAGGCAATAAACTGTTTTAGCTCCCTCTCCCTTGATCCAGAAAGTAGACTGAGGTTTCATGGCGGTTCCTCATTCCTCGTTCATTTCAAACCTGGGGTCGTGAGCAAGAATGGCTTGCTCTAGGACAGCCAAAAGCACAGCTTTGCTTCAAAGAGCCCAAACTTGAAAGGGTCTATCAACAGGGAAAATTATGAACAAGCTGTGATATATTTACAGAGCAGAACACTACTTGTATTTAGAAGGACTCAACCACTGATGTCCACAATATTGTGGATGAGTCTCAATGATTCTGAGTGAAGAACCAAACAAAAGACCCCGTTTATATGCATATGTAACTCTACAAAATGCACGCTGGCTCACGGGGACAGAGCACAGATCAACAGTGGCCAGGGAGCAGGAGGTGGGGGAGGCGAGAATGACAAGGATGCCCCTTGGGGAGACAGGTTCATTACCGTGCCTGTCCTGACGGCTTCATGGGTGTACACCTGGGTCAGCAACTACCAAACCTGCACGTTATCTGTGTGCAGCAAGCGCATAGCACTGCCCTCAAGAAAGCCGTTTCTTAAAAGAGAGGAAGGGAGCGAGGAATTGGGAGGGAAGGGTGGGGCCTGCAGTACAAGGCGCTGGGCCTGGTCGGGGAACCTGGGCCAAGGGTCCAGAGCAGCCCCTAGCGCGGCTTCCCGGGGCCAGGCCTCCTTCCAGGCTGGTTTTCTGTTTCTGGGGTAGGCCAGGCTGTCCCGCTTCCCACCTCCTTCTCTTCTTCCACAGAGGCAGGGTCCAGGGTCTCCTCTCGCACTTGCCCAGGGGCCTGCCCTCATTTACTAATTAAAACAGTTTTTAAGAATCTGAATAAAACATGGATTCCTCCCCTGCAGATGGGCAGGGTGGGTGTGGGCCGTCGGGATTTGAAGTGTGGGTCACTCGTGGCACTCCTTCTCGGGGTGCCCTGGATCCCCACCTGCAGCTGCAGCAGAGGAGCCGGCTGCGTCCCCTTCGGAGTCACTGATATCCTTGAACCCTCTGCCTCATGGCTCTTTGCTCTGACCGGGCAGGACAGGAGATCGCCACAGGGGCAGAATGTGGACATCAGCAGACCCCTCAACGCCCTTGCTGTCCCTCAGCCACAGTCACCGAGGCGAGTGCTTCCGCCCCTCCAGCAGGCCCCGCGGGCACCCAGCGGCCCCGCCAGACCCCTGCCGGCCAACCCGGTGCTCAGGCAGACCCAGGTAAGCGCCACGGCTCATGTGGGGGACGCAGTGCAAATCCAGACTTTGCTGCTTGCCGCTGTGTGAACTTGGGCAAACTGCTCGACCTCTTGTCACCTCTATAAAATGGAGATAATTCAGCAATTCAGACGGTTAAATGAGATGATTGGCATGAAACGTTTGACACGGTGCCTAGAAGATAGTCAGGGTACAATGTATTTTAATTTACTAGGAGTAATGTTTTAAAATATTCAGAATAGATAAAGTGTTTCTGCAACTTGTCGTTTAACCCATGACACATTTGAGAATGGCAGAGGGCACTACTAATAAGTATCCTGGACGATAAAACAGAGATAGCAATCCAAGGCAGATGGTCACTCTAAGAATAATAATGGTCACACTTTCTTACATTTTTTTAATCTTCAAAATTAAATACAAGAATTTCATCACCTATTGAGTCTCTCTGTTCTAGAAGTAGGTTGTCTATTTTGTGCGTATCTTCTCATGTTTTTTTTGCTGGTTTTGAAAGTAAGGGTTTGTTTTGAGTATGAATGTGGCATTTCATGATAGGACACTTGAGAAGGGGAAAACACAGCAAATGAAAAACGGAGATCGTTGGTAATTTTTTATTGCTTTTGTTATTTTTCTTCTAGTAATTTTTATATACTGTTTTTAAAATAAGTTCTATGCTGTATACCATCTTTATCTCCTGCATTTTTGCCTTAAAATCATTCATTATTAATCCTACAAAATGTTATTTTAGCAATAGCATTCTTTTGGGCTATAGAATAGTTTCTGAAGCCTGGCGTGGTAGGACACACCTGTAAACCCAGTGAATCAGGAGGCTGAGGCAGGAGCATCATAAGTTCAAGGCCAGTCTCAGCAACTTAGCGAGACCCTGTCTCAAATTTAAAACAAATAATAATAATAATAATAATAATAATAATAATGATATAGCTCACTGTTAGAACACCCCAGGGTTCATCTCCAGAACCCAAAATAAGGTTTTTTAAGGACTTGCCATTAGTGGGCATATTTGGATATCTCTAGTTTTTGCTCTTATGAGCAGCTCTGTTATGAAAGTCTAGGTAGATAAAATTTTGGACTTCTTTATTCCCTTAGGAGAGTCTTAAAAGTGAAATATTGGGGAAAAGGACTGGTCATTTAAAGCCTCATAGTTTAATGTTTTTTCGGAACTGTTATATATGTTTATGTTCTCACATTGATTTTGTCTTCCTAACAGGGATTTTGCTAGTACCAAATATCAGCCTCTCAAAGCCTTTCCAGTTTGACAGATACACACACCACTCCGTTTCCTTCCTGTGTAGTCGTCCAATCGGGGACTGAAACGAGTGTTGACAGGTCTGGCTATAATTGGGTCTCCTTTCAGTCCATCAGTTTTTGCTTCAAGTGTGTTGACGTTCTCCTGGTTTGGGTACACATAATTAGGATTGTTGTGTCTTCTTGGGGAACTGTAAGGTCCCTTTTGTCATTATGAATTGTCCCTCTTTGGTTGTGTTTGTTCTAAAACCTCCTTTATCTGGTACTAATATACCCTCAGTGTTCTCAGAGTAGGTCTTTTCCCATCCATCACACTTTTCGCTTCAGAGGGCAGGTTTATTGGGTTCATTTTTGTTTCTTGGTGTTTCTTAGTTATTTCCAGGTCGTGTGTGCTTATGTGTTTTTTCCTGTTACGTATCTTGAGGAGGACACTGGCACACTCACAGGGACTCACCACCGGGTGGTTCCTTTAGTCCTGGGGCCACTGGCCAGTCTACTTTCTTTCTCAGCTTTCAGAGTCTTCCGTGAGCTGCCTTGTGAATTCTGTCCAGACTTTTCTGTTGTAAATTAACAGGAAGAATAGGGTGGACTATTCTTATTCCATCTCGTCTAGACCTCAATTCTTTTTGTGTTTCTTTGGTTACTGGTATTCAAACCATTTCATGTATGTCTAGTAGCCAATGGTGTGCTGGTAAACTGGTGCTTAAGAAAACAAAAAAAATAATAATAATAAAATGCAGTGCTGGGCATAGTGGTGCACATCTGTAATCCAGTGACTCAGGAGGATGAGGCAGGAAGATCTCAAGTTCAAGGCCAGCCTCAGCAAATTAGTGAGACCATCAAAAACCTAGCAATACCCTGCCTCAAAATTAAAAATTAAATAAAAAGCCTGGGGATGTAGCTCAGTGGTAAAGCACCCCTGAGTTCAATCCCCAGTACCAAAAAAAAAAAAAAAAACCTGACATATAGCAGGTTTCTCTTTCATATAACCCCCCCCCACCCCCGCAGAGTCAATTACAAGCTATTAATGTGACATCACTGCACAGGAGCAGGGAATCCGCTGTCACAAGCTAGACCAGCTCCCACACCCACTGTCAGGGATCTGCTCTATGCATTATCGGTTACTATCCTTTGACTTTTTTTTTTTTTTTTTTTTGCTTCTATTGAGAGGTAGAGTTTGCTCCCTTATGTATGAGTTTCTTTCTTAATAGATCATTTAATTTGTTGTAATTCTATTTTGCATTTGGCACAGAAGAGCTCCAGTTTTGAATATTCCACGTATTAATGGCTCCTTGTGAACCCTCCCATTCCTTCCATGCTTGCAGAGGCCTCTCCCATCTCAACAGCAGGGAGGACCCACATGCAGTCTCTCCTGCTGACTTGCTTGGCTGTCCAGGGTTCTGTTTTTTCCATGTGTCTTGCCAACCTGCCAGGGTTAAGTGGGTGCAAGGCAGTGGCCCCTCCTCCACTTCCTGGCCCATGGACTTATTTGAGGACCCAATGAAGCAGTCAATAGCAGCAATCAGCATTCCGCACATGCTCTCCCGGTGTCCATGGAGCCCCATGGATTCCCTTATTTGGGGCTTTTTATTCCTACCTTTAAGTAGCCCACCTGTGCATGTGCCAAACAGGGACTGCCACCCACGTCGTGTGATCAGGGAAGCCACTTCTCCCTGATCACACGACCTGTGGGTGGCAGTCCCCAGGGAAGTCTTTCTCCCACCAGCTGTGCATGCCCACAGAAGTGAAGTCTTCAAGATTCCCTTTCAAGCAGGCTTTGGAAAAGCCCTGCCTTTGTGATCCTTCAGCCATTACTCACTGAAAAATCCACCTGTTCACTCCAGGTTGGTGTCTGTCTGGAAACTTCCAAGACATGTGACACAGAGTGAGGACGTGGCTCTTCCCCATCACACGTAGACCTGGAGTAACTCCACGTAGGTGTGGGGAGTGTGTGGAGGTGGCTCTTGTTTGGCAGCACAGACCGAATCCACTGATGCTTTGCATTTTAGAATCCCCTGTGCTCTGACCTACAGCCACACAACTAATTCTGCTTGGTTTGTCCAAATTCATCACATAATCATTCCCAGAGGAAAGAGAACACCATTACTAACACTATATTGATCAAGTTCACATCTAAAAGGTAAGCTAGTTCTTAGTAGAAAACATTTCATCTTCTCTAAAATGTTGTTTGGTTTTAAAATTCAAGGACAGTTGAATCAAGTCGTTCTCTTGTCTGTGAAGGTACCTTTCCAAAGTACCATTTATTGCATGGTAAAACAGTACTTGGAATTAAAACTTCTCATCCCAGCCACCACCACCCTCCCCAGTCTTGATAAAGGAGGCAGACTTTAATTTCTTTTTTATCCCCATCAGCTATTCTAGAGGAAACTAAATTCAGTGTATTCCTATCACTGCTGGCTGGCTGCTAACAATTTCTCCAGAACCCCAGCCAAGCGTGAATGGTCAAGTGCAGGCTGCAGAAAAGAATGGTCCACAAGGAGAAGAATAAGAGGTGGGGGGGGGGGCATCTGACCCCCTAAGCAGGGGGTGGAGAACATGACAGAACATCTCTGTGCCTCCTGTTGAGTTGGCCTTGACTTGTGTGTTAGGTTTGCTTCTCCCCAGGAACATGCCCTGGAGTGGGAGCTAAGACAAGCCAGTGCACATTTGCATGTGTCAAGCCCCTTTGGAAGCAGGGGGGAGGTTCCCTGCACCTACTGAGGCTGGTCAGAGTTCATGTTGGGCTCTAGAAGGAAAGAAGAGGACGTTAAAATAAGAAGTTGCAGGAGGGGCTGAGAAGTTGAGGATGAATCTGAGAGGGCTTACGAGAGACTTACGTTATAAGACTGAAAAAGCCAATTTTACTTTAGAATTCTTAAAAAGAATTACATGCATGAAGTGGAGAATACACAAGAGCGTACCAAGAACATGTCTTAAGCAGAATCCTAAAAGGTTGTCCTGGGAGGGTGGGGGCCAGGGCACACACTGAGGCACGACAGGGAGAGAGCATCAGCCCTGTGATTTCAGACACCCATGTGAAGTCCACCGACTAGGCTTTTGGGCCTGGGAATTCTCTGAAAGCCAAAAAGGAAGAAGCCCCGGAACCACTGGGCAGCCAGGGCCACCTATAGTGTCCTCAGTTTCTTCCTCTGTCTACTGACTCTCTTCACCTCCTAAGCCTTCCCCAAGTCTGAGGCTAGTGTGAGGCCAGAGCCAGCTATGGGGAGGAAGGGAAGGTTCCTGTGCTGGGAGAGGACAGCATCCTGCTGAGTCAGCACGGAGCTGCTAGGAGAGGAGGGAGCGGCTGGAGGATGGGAGGTGGCAGGCAGCAGAGGGACACAGGCCCCTCAGGACAGCTTGGGCACAGACCAAGTGTCCCACTGTCCCACAAGAGATGGACTCAAATTGCTAAATTTCAAATGAAAAATAAGTGTGACCCACAGAAGGCTAAAAATATGAGGGCACTTAGGGCATATTCCGAACGGCCAGACACAAGTGCACAGAACTTTATTCCTAGAGCAGAAGAGGGAAGGGGCAGGGGCAAGGCCTGCAGGGGTTGTTGGGTTCCCAGGGCATGCCCAACCGAGACCCTTATACAGTTTACTGTCCAGTTCATTGGATTAATTGATTCATTTACCATTTAATCAAAAACATGCTCAAAAAGAAAAAAAAAACATGAAACATGCTCAATGTCACATCTAAGAAATAAATTTCTCAGTGTCTAGAGAAGCTGAACTAAG